GCGGCCGCGCGCAGCGCGCCGTCCGGCTCGACGTTCAGCCGCGTCTCGCGGTCCAGCTGCAGCTGCGCAACCGTCGTCGCCAGAAAGTTCGCGGTGCCGACCGGCGCCGCGGGGTCTTGGTAGTGCAGCAACTCGTCGGTGGTCTCGAGTTCGTCGCTGAGCAGCGCCTCCGGCGCCTCGTGCGTCGCCGCGCGCATCGACTCGCCGAGCTGCTGCGCAGAATTAAAGCGGGAAAATAACAAAAGTGAGCAATTACAGGCGGCGCCCGCGGCGGCCGGCCTTGCGGCGCGTCGAGTCGGTCGGGATCGGCGTCACGTCCTCCACGCGGCCGATCTTGATTCCGCTGCGCGCGAGCGAGCGCAGCGCGGCCTGTACGCCGGGGCCCATCGTGCGCTGGCGCACGCCGCCGGACGCGCGCAGCCGCACGTGCACCGCGGTGATGCCGAGCTCCTTGCAGCGAGTCGCGACGTCCTGCGCCGCAAGCATCGCCGCGTACGGCGAGGACTCATCGCGGTCCGCCTTGACCTTCATGCCGCCCGTGACGCGCACGAACGTTTCGCGGCCCGAAACGTCGGTCACGTGGATGAAGGTGTCGTTGAAGCTCGCGTAAATGTGCGCGACGCCGATGGCGTTGTGGCCGTCGACCGGGTTCGGCTGCACGTAGCCGGTCGGGCCGCTCGAAGCAACTGCGGTCTTGGGCGCCATTCTCTCGACGGATCCTGTACAGACTGCAATTAGATTAAATAATTTTTAGACAAAACAATTGCCCGGCAGCCAGCCGCGCCGCAGGCAGCGCCGGCCGCGCAGAGCGCTCGCCGAAGACGCCGACGCTCGCACGCGCCGCGCGTCGCTGTTCGAAGCGGCGCGGACGCGCGCGCGGCGCAGAGCGTCGGTGCGCAACGCAGCGCGAGTGCGCGTAGCGCAGCCAGCCGTCTCGCGGCGGCGAACTCCGCCACTCAGCCCCCGCCACTGGGCCTCTGCCAGCAGGCAACTGCAGCAGGCAACTGCAGCCGGGTCTCCATTGTTGGGCAGCTGCAGCCAGTTCGCCTCCGGCGTGCGCGCAGTTTTGTGCGCGCAAACTGTGGGTTTGCGGAGCGCTGACGCGAGGCCGGGGCGTCGGCGAATTGGTTGGAAAAATTGCAATATGAATTCTGGTGTAGGAGTCGCGACTCGTTATTATAATTTTTAATTTAGTTCACACGGCTCGCGCCAATCTGATCGCGTCGAGAGCACCGCAGCTGTCGCAGTTTTTGAAGCACAATGGAAGTCTCATTACAAGTCAAAAGCGGAGAAGAAGAAGTGCTGTACCTGCTGCTGAAAAACGGTCTGTCTCTCGAGCGCTTCGTCGAGTACATCCTCGCCGAACGCAAAAACTTGCTCGAGTGTCTGGCCGACCCGAGTGTTCCGCTCTGGAAATTCAAGCTGCTGTGCGACACTTCCGTCTCCAAGTACTCTTCACGGCCAACCGCGCCGTCGGCGCCGACGGAGCTCCCGCTGAGCTTCGCCGACCACGATAAGCATCGTCCGAAAACAAGCGCGTTCGCGCCGCCCGAAAACCTCGAGACCGGCTGTTCCGCGAGCCTGTGCAGCACCATGGTCAACTCGAGCGCGGCGCAGAGCGGCGAACACCTCAGCTTCGCCGGCTTCCACCCCGAAGCCTCCGTACTGCTCCTGTCCGAAGCCATCCACGACATCACGGAGGACGACGCGCTTTCCGCTGCCGCGGCGCCGCCCGTCGCCGCGCCCCGCGCACCCGCGCTGCAGGCCGCGGAGCACATGGAGACGCGCATTCTGAACTCCATTGCTAAAGGCAGTTACGGCTCCGTCACGAACAGTGTCGTGCCGTTCATCGTCTCCCTCGACGAAATCAACCGCATCCTCGACCTGCCCGGCGCACCGGAGGCGGCGCGCGAGCATCGCGGCGAGCAGCTCGAGAGCTCCGCGCTGACTTTCGTCCGCGCGGGCGCCGCGCACTCCGCCGGCGGCGTCACCACGCGCCGCGAGGGCCGCTGCACGCGCGTCGCGAAGCCGGCGGCAGAACCCTCGCGCTCGAAAGTGCGCAAGCGCATCAGCTCGCGCCGCGCTCCCGAGTTCGAGAACCTCTGCGTCTGTTTGGAGTGCGGCAAAAAAGGCCAGTCGATTTTCGACCCCAAACTCGAACAAAAAGACGGACAGTTGTACGAGTATTACTACTGCCGCAACACGCAGTGCGTCAAAGGCCGCAGCTCTTGTCGCTACATCGGCTGGCGCGTGCGCAGCTAGCACAACAAGCGCCCGCCGGGCTCACGGCGGGCGACACCAAAATGGTGTATTATCACGGCGCCTCGACGCCGCCCCGCGCCTCGTGGCTTTGCACGAGGCGCAGTTTCTTGTAAATTAATTGCCCGCCGCGCTCTGCGGCGTGGCCGGATTTTGCGGCGAAAACAGCTTGCCCATCGCCACCGCCGTTTCAATCAAGTTCGTCGCGGCACACTCCTTCACTTCGTTCGACTGCAGCCCGCACGAGTCGCACTGGCGGTTCACCGCCTCCAGCGCCTGTGCGGCGGTCTTCAGGTAGTACGACAGCTCGGTCGCACTGCGCAGGAACGGCGCAAACAGCGGGATCGCCACCGCGTACTCCGGCAGCAGCGTCGCCATGTGCTTCAAAATCGGCCCGAGCTCGTACAGCAGGTCGCTAATCGCCGCGTTCGGCGACGTTATGTACTCGAGGTGCTGCACTACCGATATCGTCGCAGGAATGACGCGCTTGTAACCGTGCGAAAGCACGACCGCCGTGTCGATCAACATGTTGCTCGTCGTCCGCAACAGCCCCGCCGTGCGCGGCACGCGCGTCGACAGCCGCGTGAGTGACTCAATCAGCACATCGACCTTGTAAGCCTCTATCGCCATGACGTCTTTGAACAGCACGTGCAGACTCTTGAGCGCCGCATTGATGTCCGCCTGGTGCGTTATGATGCCGCCGCGGCGCGCCATGCGCATGAAGTTCGTGATCACGATCGTCAACAGCTCTTCCGGGTTCTCGTTCTCGGCGGAGTGCAAAATGTCTTGCTTGTCAAACAGCTTCAGCGTCTCGTTCAACGAGTTGTTCAAGTCCGAAGAGATGTCGAACAGCGAGCTCAGCGCGTTCGACAGCACCGCGAATTCATTCATGTACGAGCGGCGCAGCCGCACCACATCCGGCACAAGGCTCACAACCGCGTTGTACACGTCTGAGATCGCCTCGACCTCCGGCCGCTCCGCGCCGAACATGTTTGCGAACAACTGTCGCGTCGCTGGGTTCTGCGCAATGTCCACGAGACTCAGCAGCAAGTCGATGTTTTCGGACAGGTGTCGCACGAACACTCTGAGCACCGTGACCACCGGCTCGACCGAGCTGTGCAGAATCATCGCGTTCGACACCAGCTCGATCACCGCGGGCACCAGCGAGACCGCCGAGATGCTGCTCGGCTGGATCACGTTAATCGCATTCAGCGTCGACACCAGCGCGTTGTGGATGCTCGGCAGCGAGTCGTGCAGCACCGGCAGCACGTCTTGCTGCATCTGCCAGAAGCGTCCGAGCATCTGGTAATCCACCCGCTGCATGTCCGTCAGCACGACGCGCAGCTTCTGCGCGT